TATATATATATATATAAAGGTATCTCCACAATAAATCTTTTGCTTCGGAAGAAACTTTAAAGTAACGATAACAACATCACGAAACGTAACAATTCGTTGTTATCGCTGTAAACTGACTTAGACATGCGATTTTGGTAGAAATATCAACGAACTTTACCGAAATCTCTTGAGTTTGGACATGTCCATTATTTTAACTGCCGTTTTCACTTCATACTCATAATTATCGCTGTAAATTGACTCAGACCTGCTATAGTGACATGAATATAGACGAAATTAACTGAAATATTGGGTTTCCATGAGTTCTATTCCAACGCCGTTTTCACATCGTATTCGTTGTTAACGCTTTAAACTGAGCTAATTTATAATTGCGATTTTTTGCAGAAATGTTTGAGTTCGAGTATGTTTTGCTATTTCGACCGTCATTTTCCCTTCATATTCGCAATTATCGCTGTAAGTTCATTCAGACCTACTATTGTAACGTGAATATCGACGAAATTAATCTAATTATTGAATTTCGATGAGTTCTACTATTTCCACCCCGTTTTCTCATCGTACCTGTTATCGTAGTAAACTGACTTAGACTTGGGATTTTGGTAGAAATATCGACGAATTTCATCGAAATCCTTTGAGTTTGAGCATGTTCCACTATTTTGACCGCCATTTTCTCTTCATTACACATTTGCGACCGCCTCGTAAAGGACAACCTCGTCTGGCTCGTGACTCAGGACGGTTCGCCCGTCGACTCTGGCGCCAAGGACTTGGCCAAACAAAACAAATGACCTATCAGGCCTTTTTTTTACCTGGAGAAAATCTTGCAAGAGACACTTGGCACCTCATAAGATAAGGAGTAGTGTCGGATTCCTACCGAATTAAAACCTCCACGATGGCCTGCCTCCTATCTTTGTGTGTGGAGACTCCGGGACCGATGTTATTTCTCCGGTACTCCCAGACATTCGCTTGAAGCGTCTTCTTAGAGAGTAATTCATCCTCTATTACTTTCTGTTGTGTTTCTGTTGGCCGGCGGCCAACCGGTGTCGCTTCTTCCGAGTTCTCACCCGCGCTTCTAAGGACTTTTTGGTTTCCGTGTCGGTGTAGCTAGCAACCTACTTTCCTCGTCGATCCAAGCGCTGACTGTGCTACTTACTCTGGGGGGGAGGTTGTTGTTCGATCTCCAATGTTTTCGGTTGTCGTTGCGGCATTCCATGGTGTCAGCGACCACTTTGTAATCGTCCTATGCCGCCACGTTTCCTTAGCCTGGGATGGTACCGTCCCTCCCGCGACGTTTGGTTCTCTCCCTGTTTCGCCGCCTGTCACGTTTCACCGGGTCGTTTCGCTCCCAGTTCCTCTCCTTCGTTTCTTTGGCGATCATCACCTCCTCGCAGAAGGTGGTGACCGCCTTTTTGTAGCCTTCGGGACCCACCGATGCACCAATTGACTAAACCTACTGGGGACACGTTGTCCTCAATGATATTCTTCAAGACGCGACGTTCTTCTTCAAAGCATAGGCATTCTTCCACTGTGTGTACACAATCTCTAGCTCGGCATCTAGCTCAGAATCTAGCTCGGCATCGCACTCCATGCATTCAGCCAAGACCTAGGCGCCTATCTGGTGCAGGTAATAGGCCGAAATGCTCATATCCGATAAGTACCTGCGTGATTCTGTAGGTGAGAGTTTCGAGTCCGCTAAGGCTTCCAATCTAGGATTGCTTCCACTGTGTATCAATGCCTTGCGCCGCAATTTTGGAGCTCTCGCTTCCACGTTTCCCGCGCCCATCGCTGCGTTTGACTTCTTTTTTGCTCGGTCTTAGTGGTTACCGTCTCGTTATTCTGACGTATTCTTACTCAGTAGAGTTCTGCGTCTATCTCGGCCAGCACGTGGAAAGGTATCAATCCTGCCAGCGCCATTTCGTATGGGACTGTGCGATAGGCACATATTTTCCTTATGGCCATCTGGCGTTGCACCCGACGATTTTGTCGCCGCCCACAGTAATGCTGCCTGCCAAGATCGGCGCCCCATATAGTGCCATTGATCTTAGCACGCCCATATAGAGACATCTCACCTTTTCGCTTGAGCCTGCTATATTAGGAAGGAAACATCCCAGGATTGCCGCCGTTATCACTATCTTTGGTGCCAGGCACTTGAGTGTGCTTTAAAGTTAAGGCGACCATTAAGCGTGACCCTCAAGTATTTCAACTCGTCCCGGACAAGGATGCGCTCACCTTCTATTGACATCCACGCGTTCGAGGGAGACTGTGGAACCATATGGCCTCTGTCTTCTGCGCGGCTGCTTCCAGCCCTAGTCTCCGAACTTCTGTCAGGATCGCAACTACTGCCTCCATTAGCCTGAGAGTACGGGTCCATTGTCTTCCCCAGGTGACAAGGAATACGTCATCTACATAGCAAATCATTTGTTGGAGACAGCGGTCTCCAGTTCTGCGTTGAAACCCAGGTTCCACAGTAGAGGATCAAGGACCAACCCCTGCGATACACCACGATGGATTTCCATCCTGTTTCCGTCTTGGTGTCCCTCCTTCAGTAGTGTAAAGTATAGCCCTATCATGAAAATAGTCCCCTATTATCCTCCGCAGGTATGGGGGTACTTGGTGTCTGATTAGAGCCTTCATTATGGTGTTCCAGGGCAAGAAATTGAAGGCGTTTACTATGTCTATTGATACGGCCAAAGCCACTCCGTCCTGGGAAACTGCGGTCTGGGCGAAAGATGGTGAATCGTGTCGATAGTTGACTTTGCCGCCCGGAAATTAAATTGGCTGTCTGAGAGGTCTGGACTAGATGATTATTTAGTCGGTTGATCGCCACTTTCTCAAATACTTAGACCACCTCGTCGAGTAGGCAGATGGGCCTGTACGCCGATGAGCAGTCACTCTTCCCGGTTTAGGGATTACAATGAGGTTAGTTATTTTCCAGCGCCCGGAAAGCTTGCAAGCGCCCTGTGATCATGCAAGCGTTGTATATTTGCATTAGCTTCTTCCCAAGCACACTTAGAACTAGCACTAGCGCTCGTCTAGGGACTTCATCCGGATCCAGGGCAATGTTCCTTCTCTTCATTTACCTGACCGCAAAGCTAACGTGCGTCAAGACTAGACAACCGATGATCTTCACAAACATCCGGCAAAGCCTCTGATAAAATTTCCATGGACATAGGTTAGGTGGATCACTTTCGGTCATCCCTTCGAAAAATCTTACATCTTCACCATCCAAGACCTTCTCACAAAATACTCCCTAGCTATTAAACAACCGTTAGTCCGCAACACCGCAGGCGCATTTATTAACTCATTTATTTCATTCGGCGCTCCCAAAGCAATCCTGATAGACCAAGGCTTAAACTTTATGAGCTCGTTTAAATCCATTGCAAAAAGATTCCGCATCGCGTTCCGCTCGCAAAGTAATGGATCAATCAAAGCAGCAGTAGCAGCAGCAACACTGCCAGCATGATTCCGGTTGTAGTACTCTTGTTAACAGTGACAAGCCCGTCAACGCTTGTAGGCTACGATTGCAGTGGACATACGTTAAACACCACAACATTTTCTGCCACGAAGCCAATCTTGTGCGATGTCGAAGATACCGAACCAACATTGAAAGATCTGCCAGTACAACTTCAACTAACCGAACTTTCAACAGTGACATAGTAGTCGAGATAAATCGTGCGATATATTACTGTAGGATGCACTCGCATGTATCTGTCATCCATAACGGTCGCCAATAATACCTTTACATGTCAACAAGTCATGCCAACTCTTACACTCCTCAGGAGCATACATCTCTCCATCAAGTTCAAGTCGACGATATTCCCCTGAAATCTACAATTCACAGCCTCACGCTGGCAAGGGAAATAGGACCTCAAGGCAAGTGTGACGTACATGGATCAGGCGTGATCGTGCAAACTATAGTGAAAATAACATTCAAATCCTACACGGTGTCCGTAAGAGTCTCCGACAATAAAATCATACTTCAATCAGACATAACAATGTCAATGGCAGTCAAGGCACTGCTTGGATAATGAAGATGGATAAACTTACTGGGACCCACCGCTAACTATTGCAAATTTTAGAACTACGACGTGTTTTACGATAATTAAGCCATAAAAGTGACAGCTAAAACCAACAACCAGTAATCTATCTCGTACCGATGACACTGCGTTTGCTCTAACACGTATCAGGCAATCCTCACTATGTGGATTCACCCTCACACACACACAGAACATTCCAAGCTATTTATACTAGAAATCGGAGCCTCAGGCGGATTTAAATCTCGACTAACCATACTTGCCAATAATCTGGACATCTTCACCTACGTAAATTCCAAATTCGTATATGTCGAGAAACACCTAAATCGTGAAAATTTACAAGAACACCGTCAAAAATGTGACATAGAGAACCAAATATTAAGGAACGCCTCTTCACTGATTCACGTCGCCCCGGAAGACGTTGCAGTTGCAAGAACCTGGACACCTTGGAATTGCCTCGGAAGAGATAGTGCACATTATAAAATGCATACCTATCGTGCCACACCAGGAAGACAACTGACTGCTACAACAAACTACCCGTAACGTATAGAAACAATTTATACTTTCTCACACTCAAAAATTGAATATTAACTCTTTGCGGTCGGAGCCGCCCGACGAGCGAGAGTCGCTGTGGACGAGAGGTATGTACACGTTGAGCGTTTGCGCTAGAAAAACTAAGCTTTATTTATGTACAACAAAATTTTTTGACAGAATCCAGCAAAAACATATTTGGTTATAGTATATTTATGTGACTCGTTTCATATTTGTGCATGGTGTGGTATCTTTCGAAACAGTCACCTAAGTGCAAGGCCGGTTTAGCCGAACAAGTAGCACAATAATATCTCGATTCTCTTCTTTCACCTTGATTTTCCGATTGGAACATACCACACAGTCTTTACTCCTTCCTGTATCATCCCGCCGAATAATATGTAAAAGACCGTTCAGCCTTTCTCTTGTTCCAGAAGTTGAAGGTTCTTGGGATCAGTGTCACAAACATCTCCAACTAATTGAGCCACCAAGCGATGTACAAATTGCAAATGCGTTAACTTGTATTGTGTTTCTTCTGATTTTCTTTATATAATAGATAAGAATTTATGGTTGAGATTTCCAAGCTACAAAAAAATAATTTTCGCCACCATTTTTGGGACTTTCGCATGAAACAGTATGTACCTGTATACTGGTCTCTGCTTTATCCACCCCGCCCATATATTTATTATAATTTATAACACTTGGTTTCACAATCCTGGTTGTTTCTTCTTTGCGTGTTCTTTTAGTGATGGTTTTCATAGATGAGGTAGCACAAGT